CAATAACTGCAAGAAGCCCCCATCACGAGCCTTTTCCATCCTATGGAGAGGGAGCATGGACACGGGGGTCGTCCCACAGTTACTAAAAAACAACAGACATAGCCCACTCACAAAGGGGGCAGTAAAGCAACAGCAAAGAACTACAGACCGATAGCACTAACATCCCATATCATAAAAATCTTTGAAAGGGTCCTAAGAAGCAAGATCACCACCATCTAGAAACCCATCAGTTACACAACCCAGGGCAACATGGGTTTAGAACAGGTCGCTCCTGTCTGTCTCAACTATTGGATCACTACGACAAGGTCCTAAATGCACTAGAAGACAAAAAGAATGCAGATGTAATATATACAGACTTTGCAAAAGCCTTCGACAAGTGTGACCATGGCGTAATAGCGCACAAAATGCGTGTTAAAGGAATAACAGGAAAAGTCGGTCGATGGATCTATAATTTCCTCACTAACAGAACACAGAGAGTAGTCGTCAACAGAGTAAAGTCCGAGGCAGCTACGGTGAAAAGCTCTGTTCCATAAGGCACAGTACTCGCTCCCATCTTGTTCCTCATCCTCATATCCGACATAGACAAGGATATCAGCCACAGCACCGTGTCTTCATTTGCAGATGACACCCGAATCTGCATGACAGTGTCTTCCATTGCAGACACTGCAAGGCTCCAGGCGGACATCAACCAAATCTTTCAGTGGGCTGCAGAAAACAATATGAAGTTCAACGATAAGAAATTTCAATTACTCCGATATGGTAAACATGAGGAAATTAAATCTTCATCAGAGTACAAAACAAATTCTGGCCACAAAATAGAGCGAAACACCAACATCAAAGACCTGGGAGTGATTATGTCGGAGGATCTCACCTTCAAGGACCATAACATTGTATCAATCGCATCTGCTAGAAAAATGACAGGATGGATAATGAGAACCTTCAAAACTAGGGAGGCCAAGCCCATGATGACACTCTTCAGGTCACTTGTTCTAGCTAGGCTGGAATATTGCTGCACACTAACAGCACTTTTCAAGGCAGGTGAAATTGCCGACCTAGAAAATGTACAGAGAACTTTCACGGCGCGCATAACGGAGATAAAACACCTCAATTACTGGGAGCACTTAAGGTTCCTAAACCTGTATTCCCTGGAACGCAGGAGGGAGAGATACATGATTATATACACCTGGAAAATCCTAGAGGGACTAGTACCGAACTTGCACACGAAAATCACTCACTACGAAAGCAAAAGACTTGGCAGACGATGCAACATCCCCTCAATGAAAAGCAGGGGTGTCACTAGCACGTTAAGAGACCATACAATAAGTGTCAGGGGCCCGAGACTATTCAACTGCCTCCCAGCATACATAAGGGGGATTACCAACAGACCCCTGGCAGTCTTCAAGCTGGCACTGGACAAGCACCTAAAGTCGGTTCCTGACCAGCCGGGCTGTGGCTCGTACGTTGGTTTGCGTGCAGCCAGCAGTAACAGCCTAGTTGATCAGGCTCTGATCCACTAGGAGGCCTGGTCACAGACCGGGCCGCGGGGGCGTTGACCCCCAGAACTCTCTCCAGGTAAACTCCAGATTCATCTGAGTCTTCAACTTCCAAGAGTGACCCCTTTTTTCTGTGTCCCATCTCTGGAACATCTTGTCTCTGTCCACCTTGTCTATTCTATGCAGTATTTTGTATGTTGTTATCATGTTTTCCCTAACCCTCCTGTCCTCCAGTGTCGTCAGGCGAATTTCCCTTAACCTTTCTTCGTAGGACATTCCCCTTAGCTCTGGAACTAACCTTGTCGCAAACCTTTGCACTTTCTCTAATTTCTTAACGTGCTTGACCCGGTGCGGGTTCCAAACTGGTGCTGTATACTCCAATATGAGCCTGACGTACATGGTGTACAGTGTATTGAAAGATTCCTTAATTAGGTATCGGAATGATAATCTCAGGTTTGCCAGGCGCCCATATGCTGCAGCAGTTATCTGGTTGATGTGTGCTTCCGGAGACGTGCTCGGTGTTATACTCACGCCAAGATCTTTCTCCTTGAGTGAGGTTTGCAGTCGCTGGCCACCTAGCCTATACTCTGTCTGCAGTCTTATTTGCCCTTCTCCGATCTTCGTGACTTTGCATTTTGTAGGGTTGAATTCAAGAAGCCAGTTGCTGGACCACGTGTCCAGCCTGTCCAGGTCTCTGAAGTCCTGCCTGATTCTCATCTGATTTAATTCTCCTCATTAACTTCACATCATCTGTGAACAGGGACACCTCTGAGTCTATCCCTTCCATCATGTCATTCACATATACCAAAAATAGCACTGGTCCTAGGACCGACCCCTGCAGGACCCCGCTCGTCACAGGTGCCCACTGTGATACCTCATTCCTTACCATGACTCGTTGTTGCCTTCCTGTCAGGCATTCTCTGATCAACTGAAGTGCCCTTCCGTTATACGCGCCTGATCCTCTAGTTTCTGCACTAATCTCTTGTGTGTGTGTGTGTGTGTGTGAGAGAGAGAGAGAGAGAGAGAGAGAGAGAGAGAGGAGAGAGAGAGAGAGAGAGAGAGAGAGAGAGAGAGAAGAGAGAGAGAGAGAGGAGAGAGAGAGAGAAAGAGAGAGAGAGAGAGAGAGAGAGAGAGAGAGAGAGAGAGAGAGAGAGAGAGAGAGAGAGAGAGAGAGAGAGAGAGAGAGAGAGAGAGAGAGAGAGAGAGAGAGAGAGAGAGAGAGGAACAGAGACAACAAATAATTGACCAATGACTCATAAGTTGTAAGGTGGACTGTGAATTACTTACCTAAATTTCTGATTGTAGCATGTATAAAGTAAGTAAGTAAATTACTATTTATGATTATTACCTGTAACTGTAGTTCATTCTTTGTTTGTAGCTATCAAAACTTTGGGGTCCAGTCCCTGGACCTATGTACCTGTAACTTTGAACGCACAGGATGGGTATGGGGGCATAATAAAGGATATAAAACTAACAAATAATTCAATCAAATCAGTTACAAGTGGTGTTAACCGTATGGAACATGACAGACATTACTCGATGACGCACAATGCTTTCTTGGGGTTTACCTAGGTGACTAACCCTACGAAGTTAAAATCCTGAACGAAATCTTACTTTTCTTGTGGACGCTTGTCCTTGTCTTATCCGCCCACTGGCCCTTCAGAACGGGGTACACCATCGTTGTTTGTATGCGTGTTTACAGGGCCACTGACGCACCATCATCAGCTCGATTTTCGGCTTGCGGTATTTTTTTTTAAACGATTTTAAGTGAAACCGGTCTAGCTTGAGGGCGTCTAATGCTCTGTTGAGACTTGGGAAGGAGAAGGGGACCTGAGCTCTGGAACGCACTGCCTTTCTTGGGTATCCTGGGTGCTAACCCTCCGGGGTTAAAAATCCGAACGAAATCTTATCTTATCTTAGCTTAGTCTGTTTTCCGCCCACTATTTGCAATGGGATTCTCTGTTCGTTCGGTTTGGGTGAGCAATATATTTTTTTTCCCGTTCATGTAAGAAGGTTTTCTATAGAGCGTAAGCTGCAGTGCCCTTACAAGCTCAAGAAGAGTAAAATAAGATTTCTCTAGCAAAGGCGAACATAAGTAAGTTATTTGGCACAGGTACACATAACTACGTTTCTGGGTATCATGGGTGTAATTACCTGGATAAACCCCAAAAATATTCAGTACAGTTTGTCTATTTGCCATGGGGTCCTTGGTAAATATATTATTTTTTTATTATTTAATCAAGGGCGTGAGCGTAAACCGGAGCGAGTTATACAAGCCCTGGGGGATAGGGATTTTGAAGCGAACATTACAGGTTAATTTGGGGAACTGGAACAGTATCACATTACTAAATACCTAGAGACCCTCACCAACATCAAGGAACTTCCTGAGGGGGGTCCTTGGTAAAGCTTTCGCTTTACATGCTGATGTCCGGGTTCGAGTCCTGTTAGAGGTACAATCATTGGACACGTTTCCTTATACCTGTTGCCCTGTTCACCTAGCAAGTAGGTACCTGGGTGTTAGTTGACTGGTGTGGGTCGTGTCCTGGGTGACAAGATTTAAGGACCCCAGTGAAAATAAGACAGTCCCTCGATGACGCACTGTCTTTCTTGGGTTATCTTGGATGGCTAACCCTCCGGGGTTAAAACCCCTCAAGGAAGGTTCCTTGATGTTGGTGAGGGGCTCTTGATTTAGGGAATTGGATCTGTGCTCCAGTTCCCCGAATTAAGCCTGAATGCCTTCCACATCCCCCCCCCAGGCGCTGTATAATCCTCCGGGTTTAGCGCTTCCCCCTTGATTATAATAATAATCCGGGGTTAAAAATCCGACCATCATCTTATCGTATCTTAACAAGAACCCCAATGGAAATAGGTCACTTTGACTTTTTAGGGCTATCCTAGGTAATCAACACATATGCTGCTATGTATGATAATATATGTAACGGTCTTTATGTGTACTAGTGCGAAGTAACTAAACTGTTTGAAAATCAGTTACAATAAAAGGAGATATACTAGGAATAAGGTATACTGCATTATTTACATCAACATTAAAGCCAGGATCAGCTTACAATAATAGGTGCATGAATGTTAGTGAACAAGAAATCGCTCTCCTCCCTTTCTATAGCTTCATTCATTAGGTACCTTTATAACACTTCCTGACAGGAAGAGTGTTAAAAGGTGCCTAATGAAGTTAAAATTTTGTTCGGATTTTTAACCCAGAGTGTTAGCCATCCAGGATAACCCAATAAAGTCAGCGTGTCATTGGGGTGGGTCTCTTATTTCCATTGGTGTCCTTTAATCTTGTCCTCAAGATATGACCCACACCAGTCTGACATTCAAGTACCTACTTACTGCTAGATGAACATGGCCAACAGGTGTAAGGAAACATGCTCAACATTTCCATTTGTGCCAGGGATCAAATTATGGACACTCAGTATGTGAGCTGAGTACACTACCGAGCTACACATACATACTGTATGTCATTCAGTTATTGGGAGCAAAAATGTAAGAACACAGAAACACTACAGTAGGCCCTTCTCAAGCTTAACCAGTACTTTGTGTAGTCATATAGTATATTTTTATTTTCTCAAATGGACTACCTGATATATGCAATACAGAGATATAATCTCTTGGGTTATAGTCTCAAGTTTTTTTAGTTGCACCACATGAATGGCTAGTTTACTGTGCACCCCCATGTTCATCCTGTGAGCGGTAGAGCAAAAAGAAAGATTACAAAGGTCACAGTGGATCTTTGCCAGACCCCACTAAGCATTGTTACATCACTAGAAAATAATATTAGTAATTTTGTATTTTACAATTACCGTACTTCATGTAGTTGTACACAGCACAGTAAGGAATACAGTCTCAAAAAAAAATGATAACTAATTAACACTAAAAAATTTTTTTTACAATTTCTTCATTTAGTTGTTGTATACAGCTTGCCCTCCACTTTCGCGAGTTCCACTTTCGCGAGCTTTGAACATTCAAGAATGCCCAGCCACCCAATCATATTTACCAAACAAATGCGGGAAAAAAGTACAGGAAAATGGTTCCTGCTGTGTCCCTACTACCCTCCTCCTTACCCCCTCAACCTGCAGCCTGCCAGTCCACCACTCACTCAGTCATTGTCCAGTTACTGTTCGTGTTGGTCATATCCAGTTACTGTTCGTGTTCTACTGTACATGTATGTTTGTGTGGTGGTGCAAGTATGGCCCCCAAGTGAGCAGCAACCGCTATTGATGAGTCAACCCCTAAGCGCTCAAAGAGAGTCACGAATCTGGAGAAGGTGAAATTGGTAGACAAGTGTAGGGCAGGTTATTTGAGCAATTCTGCCATTGGAAAATTATTTAATGTAAACGAAAGCACAGTGTGCTCTATCAAGAAAAATGAGGCGAAGATAAGGGCGGCACTAGCATCTACTGCTCCTCCCTCAGCTAAGCAAGTGTTATAAGTAAGAAACAGTGCGATGTCTAAGATGGAATCAGCATTATTTGTGTGGATTTCAGACCAAAATAGAAAAGGAAATCCCGTAGACAGCAGTGCAATTCGTTCAAAGGGAAAGGCTTTGTATGATACGTTGGCTAGTGATGAGGCTAGCACCAGTGCAGAACCAGGATGTCCTACCATCACCCATCCTAACTTCCTAGCAAGTAAAGGATGGTTTGATAAATTTAAGAGATGGTTCTCCCTGCACAACCTGAAGATGAGTGGAAAATCAGGTTCGGCAGATCGTGTTTCGGCAGCTGCATTCCCCAGCGCTTTGAAAAAATCATCGATGAGAAGGGATACAGGCCTGAGCAGGTGTGGAATATGGATGAAACAGCCCTGTATTGGAAGAAGGTGCCTGCCAGGATTTTCATAGCCAGGGAGGAGAAGAGTATGCCAGAGTTCAAGGCTGCAAAAGATATGCTGGAGGGTGAGGTGAGAGAATGGTTGAAAAACATGCACTGGGTCTAAATGATGAAGAATTGTTGGAGAATGTGCAGGCAGAGAATGAGGACGAAGAAGACCAGAGTGTTGCTGAGGCCAATCGACCTCAAGCCCTCAACCTTGAAAAACTTGGGCAAGTGATGAGAATGACAGCACAGCTCAAACAATTTTTTTGCGACACAAACCCATCGATGTTGAGGGTTTTGAAGGTAATGAGTGACATTGATAGGAGCATAATTCCCTACAAAATTCTGTAGATATGAAGAGGAAATGGTGTCAGTTGTCCATCACAGTGTTCTTCACAAGGAAGCCTGCTGTTACCCCTACTGCCTCACCTGAACCTCAGCTCCTGGCAGAATCTGACTCCATTGCTAACTCTGACTCTAGCGATGTCGGCAGTGACGCTGGCAATAAAGAGTTAGAATCCACACACTAGATTCATCATACCATGCAATTACACTTCATACAATCACCTGCATTCATCTGTCATCAGTAACTGTATGGCTAACTATCATCACCATCATCATCATCATCATTGCCATCATCATCATCACAAGTCGTCTGAGTTCGTCTGTCTAACCTTATGAGTGGTGAGTGTTTTGTTTGTTCATTATTTGTTATTAAACCATAACATGTGTATATGTACAATATTTTATGATGTTTTCATGTGTTTTATGTTTGTTCATGGCTCAATAGGTTAAGGAAGCAGTATTGTTTGGCTAAGTAAATGCTATCATTATATTTCCCTACAATATATTTGTGTATCAAAGCATTCGCAAATACTACAGTACAGTATTATTATATTTCCTATATTTCCCTACATCATATTTGCGCACCAAACATTTGTGAATTTTCAAGATTCACGAGGTTATAGATCCCTAACCCTCACGAATATGGAGGGCCTCCTGTACAGTATAGTAAGGAATACAATCTCAAAAATGTTATTTCTTATTACCACTAAAGGTAAAAACAAAATCACTAGTTATTGCTGTGTTGCAGTTTCTATAAAGACAGTTTGTTCATCTAGTTACTGCAAAATGTGAATACCACATCAAGCTTTCAGATATCATTAACAGTGAGGCATTTTGCCATATCCTGTAAGGTTTGCATGGGGGCAGGGGGTATCTCTTAAAAGACTGAATGTTTGGATTCGCTAAGATCTAATGCATCAGTGTATGGCCCTGTCTTTGTCCACACACTTTGCATTATACATATATTATTGACATCTCCATACAAACCATACTGCTAGACATACTTTTATAGCTTAGCCTTAGTCTATCAAATAACTATTTATCCTGCTAGTGCAAAATGTAGGCTGAGGCACTGATTGCCTCAAAACAACTACTTCAAGGCTAAGGGACTGATCACCTCATCTTTACCTCTCTGCTGCTTCTATCTTCAATATTTAGTCACATCTGTGCTCAACTAAAGAAGCCTACTGTGTAAGCAAAATGATTCATTAGTAAAACAAACAAAGTTTATTTCTTTGCAAGGTTGCATGTGTCTTACTTGTCTGCTTGTCAGTATTTTATACCATTAATATATAATAATAATTTTCTTACCTTATTATTTAATTCAAAGACCCTGAGTTATGTAACAAAGAGCCAAGTGGGTTTTACGTATTTCCCTTGGAGCTCATATGCTATGCAGTTAACCTGTGTTATCCTGTGTTATTAATACAGCATTACATAATAGTTCATCCTCAGTTTTTCTATACACAGTCCACAAAAATCATTCCAATATTTATTGTCAGTATAAATGATAACTATTTGCATAATACTTTACTCTTTATTTAGATCCTCACTCTTAATACAGTAGTATCCAGTAAAATGTTTTAGGTTATGTGCACATCAATAATTGATGAAGAAAATCTCACAATATTTTCATATTTTCAAGGACATCGATATATTTTATGTTGTGGTTTGCTTTTACACTCTTAAGATTCGTTGATTTTCTTACTTCATCAATAAATATAATGCACTCTTTTATAAGCAATAGTATACTGTAAATATCATGAACATCATAGCAAACTGTAGTAGTTGGAGCTGGTATAATTATAGCAGGTGTATTTTCAGATAGCATTATGGCTAAGAACCCATTGTGGTTATTCGTCTTGGTGAGACTGTTAAGTGTGTTCAGTCATACAGACATGGTTTGTAGCAGATGAGTTTGGCAGGCTACAGAAATTGCACATCACTTAGTTTTTGGGTAAGTTGTATCTAAGGAGTTGCATAAAATTCCTTGTAAATATTGAAGCTTGTTACATTATGTGGTAGCTGCATTGCCCTTCATGGCTCTTTTGTTTCATGTTTGTCTTTCAGCCTAAGGAAACACTGGTTTAGTAGTTTCCATGAATTCAAATATAGTTTAACATAAGGCAGTTTAATAAATGTGAACAGATCTCCTTACACCTGTTGTTAAGCATTTTCAGCACATTTCAATTTTATCAGTAAAATTAAGATGTACAGTATATAATTAAAAACCCTATACAATAAAAATGTTTCATTATTATTTTTTTTATTATCACACTGGCCGATTCCCACCAAGGCAGGGTGGCCCGAAAAAGAAAAACTTCACCATCATTCACTCCATCACTGTCTTGCCAGAAGGGTGCTTTACACTACAGTTTTTAAACTGCAACATTAACACCCCTCCTTCAGAGTGCAGGCACTGTACTTCCCATCTCCAGGACTCAAGTCCAGCCTGCCGGTTTCCCTGAATCCCTTCATAAATGTTACTTTGCTCACACTCCAACAGCACGTCAAGTATTAAAAACCATTTGTCTCCATTCACTCCTATCAAACACGCTCACGCATGCCTGCTGGAAGTCCAAGCCCCTCGCACACAAAACCTCCTTTACCCCTCCCTCCAACCTTTCCTAGGCCGACCCCTACCCCGCCTTCCTTCCACTACAGACTGATACACTCTTGAAGTCATTCTGTTTCGCTCCATTCTCTCTACATGTCCGAACCACCTCAACAACCCTTCCTCAGCCTCTGGACAACAGTTTTGGTAATCCCGCACCTCCTCCTAACTTCCAAACTTCGAATTCTCTGCATTATATTCACACCACACATTGCCCTCAGACATGACATCTCCACTGCCTCAGCCTTCTCCTCGCTGCAACATTCAATCACCATGCTTCACACCCATATAAGAGCGTTGGTAAAACTATACTCTCATACATTCCCCTCTTTGCCTCCAAGGACAAAGTTCTTTGTCTCCACAGACTCCTAAGTGCACCACTCACTCTTTTTCCCTCATCAATTCTATGATTCACCTCATCTTTCATAGACCCATCTGCTGACACGTCCACTCCCAAATATCTGAATACGTTCACCTCCTCCATACTCTCTCCCTCCAATCTGATATTCAATCTTTCATCACCTAATCTTTTTGTTATCCTCATAACCTTACTCTTTCCTGTATTCACCTTTAATTTTCTTTCTTTTGCACACCCTACCAAATTCATCCACCAATCTCTGCAACTTCTCTTCAGAATCTCCCAAGAGCACAGTGTCATCAGCAAAGAGCAGCTGTGACAACTCCCACTTTGTGTGTGATTCTTTATCTTTTAAATCCACGCCTCTTGCCAAGACCCTCGCATTTACTTCTCTTACAACCCCATCTATAAATATATTAAACAACCACGGTGACATCACACATCCTTGTCTAAGGCCTACTTTTACTGGGAAAAAATTTCCCTCTTTCCTACATACTCTAACTTGAGCCTCACTATCCTCGTAAAAACTCTTCACTGCTTTCAGTAACCTACCTCCTACACCATACACTTGCAACATCTGCCACATTGCCCCCCCTATCCACCCTGTCATACGCCTTTTCCAAATCCATAAATGCCACAAAGACCTCTTTAGCCTTATCTAAATACTGTTCACTTATATGTTTCACTGTAAAACACCTGGTCCACACACCCCTACCTTTCCTAAAGCCTCCTTGTTCATCTGCTATCCTATATTTTCCGTCTTACTCTTAGTTCTTTCAATTATAAACTCTACCATACACTTTACCAGGTATAAACTCAACAGACTTATCCCCCTATAATTTTTGCACTCTCTTTTATCCCCTTTGCCTTTATACAAAGGAACTATGCATGCTCTCTGCCAATCCCTAGGTACCTTACCCTCTTCCATACATTTATTAAATAATTGCACCAACCACTCTCCAAAACTATATCCCCACCTGCTTTTAACATTTCTATCTTTATCCCATCAATCCCGGCTGCCTTACCCCCTTTCATTTTAACCTACTGCCTCACGAACTTCCCCCACACTCACAACTGGCTCTTCCTCACTCCTACAAGATGTTATTCCTCCTTGCCCTATACACGAAATCACAGCTTCCCTATCTTCATCAACATTTAACAATTCCTCAAAGTATTCCCTCCATCTTCCCAATACCTCTAACTCTCCATTTAATAACTCTCCTCTCCTATTTTTAACTGACAAATCCATTTGTTCTCTAGGCTTTCTTAACTTGTTAATCTCACTCCAAAACTTTTTCTTATTTTCAACAAAATTTGTTGATAACATCTCACCCACTCTCTCATTTGCTCTCTTTTTACATTGCTTCACCACTCTCTTAACCTCTCTCTAAAAATGTTTCATATTTAATAAAAATAAGTGAAATACAGTGAAACCTCAGTAGTATAACATAAATTTGGGGGGGGGGGGGTGTCTTTTCAAATGAAAATCAGTTATATTGAAATGCCCTATGCAATGGATATGGTCCATTGTATGGAGTGCCTCTAGGACAGGCCCACTACTGCTAATGGACAAAATTTTGATGCATTGGAGTTGGTCTGTTGTATGGGGAGCCTACCAGGCACACATACTACTGCTAATGGACAGACTTTCAATGCAACATTAAAGCATTTATTATAATGAGAGTCTTTGTACAGGTTATTAATTTATTAGGTATAGTTCTTGTATGTATTACTTGGCTTGTACTCGCCTGTTTGTGGATGCAGAGATCAAGTCTCAGTTCCTGTCCCTACCTCTCAAACTGGTCTTTACTTTACAAAACCTGCTTTGTGAGCACTATCATACTTCTACTTTGTTGTCCAGTTGATCTCACTTCCTGACTGCTCTATGACTGAAGACATACATCTGCCATTCCTGTGACTCGAATGTGTCTTGAACTTTCAAATACATCCTCATGTACTTATTTCCTGTCTCTTGAACAGCCCCTTCTTATCCACCATATCATTTCTTCCGTACACCATTATCAGCTCTTTCTTGGTTCTTTTGTCTTGGTTCATCAGGTTTGGTCCCTTTAGTCTCTCTACATAGCTTGTCCTCCTTAGCTCTGTGATGAATCTCATTGCAAACCTGTACACTTTTCCCAGTATCTTGACATGCTTGATCAAGTGTAAATTCCATTCTTGTTGCATACTTCAAGATGGGCGTGACATATGTATGTAATGGCATGAATAACTCTTTGTTGAAATTCTTAGAAGCTTATTTGAGATTTGCCAAATGTACATTAGTCAGAGGATTATTCATTTGATGTTCATCTCACGTGATTTGCTCAATATTATGCTTCCCCGAGATCTTTCTCTTTAAGTATGATTTCCTGGTCCCTCGAGCCTGTACATCATTTTTGGTCTTTGCTCCTCCCCAATTTTTATAACTTTGCGCTTGTTGGGGATGTTGCTTCTGTTGTTTATGTAACTTAGGGCACTTAATGATACAGCATTTTTTTTTACACTCTTGTTAGAGAGTATTGGTTGATAAAAAGATCCCTAAAGATTTACTACAGTTTTTAAATTGATAAAAAAAGCTTATGTATTTTCACAAGTAACCCAGTAAATAAATCTTGGTGAATGTTTCCTTCTTTGGGCCACCCTTTCCTAGGGATAAATAGTGAATGTGATAAAAACAATAATGGTAAGTAACAGTTTCACACTGGTGAACTTAACTTTTGTAGCCAAGGCATATGAAAATATTAAAGCTCTACACCTTCACTACACTGCCATATAAATATTGGAATGAGGGTTATTACTGTATTAGTCATAATGAGTCCTACTGTTGCCATAAATCACACCAGTATTTAGGGTAGAGATCAGTTCTTATACCCTGCATGCCTGTCTTTGCAAACAAATTTCACACTGGTGAACATAATATGTGCAACATTAGGGTTTGAACCAAGTTTCACCAGATGACAACCCCTCACCTTTACACCTGCATCACAGTGGCACTTAAATATCATAATCCATCATTCATGATAAGCCTTAGAGTTACTGCAAATAATTTCAGAGTACAAGTGGCCTGTCTCCCTCCTTCCACAATTTTCAACATCATTCATTCAATAGTTGTCTTTCCAGAAATGTGTGGACAACACAGATTGGAGCATCCTCACCTATTCTTCAAAGTGTGGGCACTGTATATCCTACAAGACTAAAATCCTGCTAAGTGACTTCCCTGAATCCTTCATAAATGTTTCCTTGCTCACACTCCAACATCATGTCAAATCCCCTGAAACCACTTATCTTCACTCACTCTAAACTAATACACTCACACATGCCTGCTGGATTCTCAGGCCCCTACCACCCAAAACTTCCTTCGCATAATATTGTATTTACTGTATTTCATTTTTGGTAATGATAATTGAAGTCTATGAATAATTTACATCATATTTTTTGTTGGATAATTAATTCAACCCCCATTTCTTATGTAAGGTATAGGAGGGCCCACTTATACAGCAGATTAGATTCTGGGCTACTTCTGTAGAGCAAAAATTGCTGTACAGTGACTCATAGCCTTTTTTTTCACTTTCACATGCAAATAAAAGCCTGATGACATGTTTACACTATCATATATTAAGTGTACAATAGAGCTAGACCTAAAAAATGCATATACAGTACACAAATTACTAACCTTAAAACATTTTTGTCCGTAGCTTATAGTGAGTGGTGAACATATTTATTGTAGGAAGTATGAATAAATGAAGAATGGGTATAATTGAAAATTGCTGCATTAGCAGAACACTGTAAAGCAAAGCGCTGTAAAGTGGGACCCTCCTGTATTCACAACGTCTTGCTGAACATTCTTGGGTACTGGAAAATTACAGTACAGTATTCTTAAATTTCCTTTTAATTAGTATTTATCTTTAGTCTTATTTTCCTTGATTACAGATATGGATATCAGACATGGGAATGGCAAGAAGGAATTAGAAGTGTTCTCTATCCAGCTGTTTTGGCTAGTATATATAAATTATTAGCCCTAGTGGGGTTGGAATATCCATTTCTGTTGGTATGTTATTGTTTAATTAAAGTCAAAACTTAAAATACACCCATTCCCTACAGGTTACTGATCTATTGCTGATATATTTCAGCACTCATAAATAGTAATTACAGTAGAACCCCCATATCCAAAGATTCAGCATCCATGTTTTCAGTTTAACATGGTTCACTATGGCCAAAAAAATACCTCTTAATTTTACATAATAATGGCCCCAAAGCACAAAAGTAGAGAAACTGGCAGTTCTTCAAAGTCTTAAAGAAACCATGAAGTGCGTCCCATCGGTGAAAAAAGTGATAGTTCTCCGTTTATTGTGCATAATTTATGAATTAAACTTTATAATAGTTATGTGTAGGACTTACATGTAAGGTTTGCTACTATCTGCAATATCAGTATCTGTGGCAGGTCCTTGGAAGGTATCCCCCAGCGGATACGGGGGTCCTACTGCATTATGAAGTATTTTCACTCTTAAATACTCAAGGACAAATACACTAACTAAACCAGTGACTTGTGAGGAATGGCTATGCTAAAGTAATTATGTTCATTATTATTTTGTGCAGTTATTGATTTTTGATATTTTATACAGTAGTATGTTGGGACCAAGCAATTGCTGGAGTTCGGATTTTGCTCATTATTAACAACCTTAAGTATACAGAGGACCAGAGGACTTTTATCAGCTTTGTTTTATTTATCCACCATTCCTTTAATGAACAAAAAGGCACAATACTGTGACTGGAACAATATACAGTGGACCCTCGACCAACAATATTAATCCGTTCCAGAGAGCTTATCTTTAGGCGAATTTATCGTTAGTCGAATTAATTTTCCCCATTAGAAATAATGGAAATCCAATTCCGTTCCAGACAGCCAAAAGTATTAAAAAAAATAATTTTTTTTTTTCATGAAATATACATTTCCCTACAAAGAAAGCAATAAGACATGCACAATAATTACATAAATACATGCTAAAATGAAACTTACCTTTATTGAAGAGTATTGACGAGTGATGAGACACTGTTTTTCTTGAACACTCTGGGATTTTCAGAGTGATACATGAGTAAAGGCTTCACTTTGCAATCCCCATTAGCATTACAACAAAACATGAGAGTTAGCCTGTCTTTCATAGGCTTGTGTCTTGGGAGTTCCTTTTTCTCCTGAGTAATGTAGGTCCTGTTTGGCATTTTCTTCCAGAACAGGCTAGTTTCGTCACAATTGAACACTTGTTGGGGTCGGAATTTTTCAGCTTTGCCATGCCTTATCATACTGTGTATGCCACTACGATTCTTAAATCTCTCAAACCAACCTTTGCTGGCCTTACATTCACCAATATGAGCACTAGTTCCAGGCATTTTTTCTTGTTCACCTGGGTGTTAGTCGACTGGTGGGGGTCGCATCCTGGGGGAAAAGATTAAGTACCCCGATGGAAATAAGTTAGACAGTCCTCAATGACGCACTGACTTTCTTGGGTTATCCTGGGTGGCTAAACCTCTGGGGTTAATTGTTTCTCGTGAAGCCACACCAACAACACTCTCTCCACATCTTCGAGTAGTACAGCTGACAGTGGTGCAGCAGCAGCTGACCATGGTACAGGAGCAGCTGACGGTGGTACAGCAGCAGCTGATGGTGGTGCAGCAGCAGTTGATGGTGGTACAGCAGAAGCTGACGGTGGTGCAGCAACAGCTGACTGTGGTACAATAGTGTAATTTGATAGCATTTCTCACCCTTTATACCACAGGGTTGGCACTGAAAGCTTTCTTTGGGCCCATGATGGCTTATTTAGCAGTTACAAGCATTAAAAACAATGGAATACAGTGGAACCTCAAATTTCAAACGTATCGCTTATCGAACTTCGAAAATCGACCGCTTTTTTCGAACCAACTTTGTCCCTATTATCGACCTCGCCCCTATTTTCGAACTGCCGGGTATTGGACCTGTTCGCCAGCCCGCTCTGTCTGCGTCCCCACGCAGGCACCGTGAGCCAGTCTGGCTTTGTTGATGCTCGAGTGAACACTAACCTACGCTCTCATTCAAACATTTTATGATTAATTCAATGTGTTTAGTGCTTGTGGGACTGTGAAATAAGCTACCATGGGCCCAAAGAAACTTGCTAGTGGTACCCCTGTGGTAAAGAAAGTGAGAAACACCATAGATGTGAAGAAGGAAATAATGCAGAAGTATGAGAGTGGTGTGAAACTTGTTGAGCTTGCCAGGATGTATGGGAAAAACAAGTTGACCATCGCTTCTATCCTGGCAAAGAAAGAACGAATCAAGGAAGCTGATTTCCCCATTTTAGGGAAATCATAAAGAGGCACCAAAAACAGAGGACTGTGGACAGTTATTTAGTGAGACAGGGGTCCAGTGACTCTCAAGCTGGTCCTAGTGGCATTAAAAAGCGGAGAAGGGAAGTAACCCCAGAGAGGGCTTTCATACCTAAAATCCTTATGGAGGGGGATTACCCTTCCAAACACTAACCCCAACTCCCTCTCTCCTCCTCCCTATCTTCCAGATGCCATCGCCAATCTTCAATAAAGGTAAGTAATAATGTTATTTTATATGTTTATTTAAATTTATTAATACATAATTGTACACTATACAGTGGTCCCTCGCTTTTCGTAGTTCTCAACAATCATAGATTTTGGAAATCATAGGGGTATTTTCATATAAACATGGGCTCGCTTTACACAGGTTGACTCGCGAGTCGTAGTTCATCCGGGATGCGTACCTACGGCGTGAGCCGGGGCGGCAGCCAGTCTGGCATTGTTTACCAGTGAGCGAAGGTCCCCTCACATGCTCCAGCGAAATATTTCCTAGTGCCAAGCCTGTGGTAAAGGTGAGAAATACGATTGAATTTAAGAAAAACATCATTGAACAATATGAAAGTGGTACAAGTGTGGCTGAACTGGCCAGGATGTATAAGAAACCCTACACAACCATATGTTCCATAGTGACTAAGAAAAAGCAAATCAAGGACGCTGTTGTTGCAAAGGGGATAACTATGTGCAAAAAAAGAGATCACCATACTCAAAAGGTTGAGAATTATTTTTGGTTGGATAAATGAGAAACAAATTACAGGGAACTCTTATGACTTTGTTTTTGTGAAAAAGGCTAGGCGTTGCATGAAGTTTTGGTAAAGAAATTGCCAAAAAAAATAGTGGTGATGTGAGTAAATTTTTAAGGGCCCCGAAAAAGGTTTTTGGGGTTTGAGAGTTTTAAAAAAACCCGTACGGGGCTTACACAGGTGGAAAAGGGCAGGGTTTTGAGGCTGCCAGTTGGGGACCCCCAGATGGCATAAATTTCCCAGGAGTACATAGAGGCTAAAGGGGAACTAAAAACCTGAAAAATTTTTTTCAATTGTGGCAAAAAAAGGCCCCTTTTTGGGAAGAAAATGCCAAAGAGGGCCCTTCATTAACAGGGGAAAAGGCAATGCCAGGACAAAAAACCCTATAAAAAGACAGGCTGACGCTAAGTTTGTGCAAAATGCTAGGGGGGGGAATTTCAAAGTGAAGCCATTACTAGTGTCCATTCTGAAAATCCCAAAAGTGTTCGGGGAAAAAAAAAATTTGTTAGAAAAGTAAATTGTGTGTTTTGGGAAATCAAAATATTTAAGGCCCATGGGTCACGAGGGAAAAATTTTTGCGAGTAGCTCAATAAAAGTGTTTGGCCCTTAGTTTTTAAAAAAATTTTACCTCCTGAAAAAAAAATTGGTTTCAAGTGCCTGTAGTAATGGAAATGCCCCCTGTTTTCCTCCAAACTTGGATGACCCTAATTTTCGAGGAGTTTGGGTTCATCCCCGAAAAGTTCTTCCCCCCGAATCCCACTCCTCTCCTCCAGCCCCTGGACCAAACAAGTCATTGCAAACTTTAAAAAAATTATACCAAAAACAATGTTTAAAAGGTGCTTGACGTGAAAAAACGTCACTTGACTCTAAGGGAATTTTGGAGAGAAAAAACTTCAGCATCCTCCTTTGCATAACCCTTATAGGTATGGCTTGGGAGGGAAATGCTACCCGGGAAATTTAAAATCTGCCTGGGAAAAAAAAAATTTTGGCCAGATTTTGTCCACAAAAGGGATTTTGAAGGGTTTGGGATTTACCCCGATGAGCCTTTTGTCTGTTGTAAAAAACAATTTTGGCACTGGGGGAGTTTCCCTGGGGTTGGATGTGGTTTTTGGGGGATGTGGAAGAAATTGGTGGAAAAAACCCCAATGAAAAGGGTCACCACTTAGGAGGGGGCCAAAAAAACTTCAGCGGGGAAAAGCCAAAAGATCGCAGCCCAGAATCTTGCTGCAGGGAGGGGGGAAGAGAGATGGAAGATGGGGCCTTCTTCAAAAAAATCAAAGAGTTTTTTGCTATGTGGGGTAAGGTTTGGGAAAAATTTATGGAGAAAACATCACCCCGACAAGGTTGTTGCAAAACCATGTGGAACATGTACAGTAACAAAGTCTTGGCCCCCTTTTAGGGAAGTTTTAAAAAAGACGCCAGCCCGAAAAAAGAGCCTCGGGACAGTTATTTGCGGGGGACAGGACTCCAGTGAATTTCAAGGTGGGCCTAATGGCATTAAGAAAAAAGAGGGAGAAGCAACCCTAGAAAAAAAATTGGTACCTGAGGTGTTGCTGGAAGGGGATTCCCCTTCCAAACTATAAACAATCCACTCTCTCTCCTCCTCCAGTCTCCCATACACTAAGAAGAATCTCCAATAAAGGTAAGTGTTATGCTGTTAATGTTTCATTCATCATTTCCCATTGTATTGTTTATGTACTACATGTATATACTTCTGGGTGTCAGGAACGGATTAATTGTATTTACATTATTTCTTATGGGGAAAATTGATTCGCAAATCGTAGATTTTGTTAATAGTAGCAGCTCCAGGAACGGATTAACTACGAAAAATGAGGGACCACTGTATTTGTTGTGTGCATGTAAAACTATAATTAATCTCCATAAAATGTATTTTTTTGTGATTATTTTTGGGTTTCTGGAACGGATTAATTGTATTTCCATTATTTCTTATGGGAACTATTGCTTCGCTTTT